AACAAGAATGGAAATGGATTATTGTATAAGTTTATTTCTTGGACTTTCACAATCGTAACCGTATCACTACAATAGAAGTAGATAAAAGAAGAAAAGCAAAACGTGATGAAATCCAATAAACTGAACATGACAAAGGTTTTGCCGCTTTCCACAATCGTGAAAGATGGCGTTTTTGCTGATTTATCCGAAATCTGAATCGATTCCCATTAATCTGTAGGTATACAAAAATGAAATAAAGTTTTGAAGACTTAACTACAAAATAAAATATATAAAATAATATTTGTACTTATGTTCGCACGTAAGAAGTTATACTTCATTTCATTTCTTTATTTTTAATTCTTGTTTCCAGCTTTCATGGTCACGAGACAGACTGACCATAAACGCTGGAAAAGGTTCGAAACGTCGGGAAATATATTCAACATTAAAACAAACCACACAAACAACAACAACAACAAACCACCGAAACAAAAAAATAACTAAATATTTTATACCCTGTGCCAGTACTCAGTCTTTGTTTTTAGACACTAAATGCAACTTGGAATTATAGACAATTTAAAAAAAGTTGTTATTGGTTGCCATAGTAATACCGTAAAGTTAGTCGAAGTTGGTCAGCTTAATCATGTTGAATCATGTCGCTTTTGGCTGTCGGTGTGCGCGCGTAATGAAAAGTTTTACTCTAATAATTTTTTCTCAAACGAGTCAAAAGTAATATAACTTTAAAAACTGTTTGCAGCCTTCATGAGTACTTCGGTACAGAGACATTTGGTTTAACTGTGCCCGTATTTGCAAAATGCCAAACTTTCATCAAGTCTTTCTTTATATCTGTAACAAAGTGTAAATTAATAAGTCGAATATTAAGTGAAGCAAATTCGCAATAAAAAAGAACCCCATATGACGATAACTACATCAAAAGATATAATAGAATGTTTTTTTTAAAGACATAAGATTTTTTTATAGACATAAGAGTTATATCACTCGTTAATTATAAATCCATTTAACAACACCACTAACAAATAAAGTCAACGCAATATTTTGAAATGGTTAACACTTACACTAGTGAACCAATTATCCAATAAACCACAAGCTATAATTACATTCTAATTGCATGTACCTTACAAGTAAACTACCCATATCTATAAAAAATATTTAAAAAATTTTTGTAGAAAAATAATCTGAAAAGTTTGAATATAGAGTATCAATCTTAAGTAAAATAAATGTTATATCATAGGTTTGAACCTTTAATATGACAGTATGAGTCCACTGCAAAACATATGCCTCCCCAACAGACCGCCACAAAGCATGATCCTGAGCCATCTGCATTCATCGACTTTCCGCACAGTTGCACAGGTTGTCCCTCCATCGAGTGGCGTATCGTTCTACACTACGATACAATTCTTTCAATAAACAACAACATTTCTAATTCCTCCCAACAGGAAAAATAAATACGAGTGTGTTACAACTATTTCGCAAACTATAACGGAACACGCACTCGGTCATCAAACACTGGGGGCTCCAACCGCAACTTTGCGGTCGAATTGACTGTCAAACATGTCAGAGTAAATACAATTAGACCCTTGAATTGTGTTACACTGACTACAACGATATGTCATATGTCTGCGCATTTACATGTAATATGTATGCGTGTGTATGCCATTTCAACCAGGGTGATATACGCGCAAAGTTCTGTTGCTATAAACTGAATAACATTTGGACACAAATGATGGAATGGATGTTGCTTTGTTGGATCTAAGTATTAACAAGGTTTGTTGAAAATTGGCGAGAAGTTTATGTTATTGGCTGTAGCAACGAACATAATGTTGAACTTTAGTTTACCATTACCGGTTCAACCAAACTTCGTGTTGACAGAAATATAGTTTATAATCCGGTACTTTTATTTTATGACGCTTACGAAAAAGTAGAAGCCCTGAAACAAGGTATTAATGGCGGATTAATACCGTGTTTCAGGGCTTCTACCCTGAAACAAGGTATTAATGGCGGATTTTCTCTTTGCAAGGTCATTTAGAACGACGTTATCCCTTGTCTACTAATCAATTTTTCCTACTAATCAATCCATCAAATTTTTGGCCTGAATTTTCTACGACCCTATAAGAAATGGACTCCAAAACAGTCGTTTTATATACATACAGTACCCGGAGGATCGAGCTTTGCTCGGTTTTTTTTTTTTGGTAAGTCGTGTATTTTGGAAATTACATTTAGATACAAATTACTGCATAATATTTTTCGATCTTACCGACGTAATAATAAGAAAATATGAACTGATTGATGGTTTTCACAAAAGAAAGAACTTTAAAAAAAAAGGGAAAAAAATAACAAAATAACAAATCGACAAAAAATTAAAAATAAAGAAAGCAATGATCTGGAAATAAATGATCGAAAAAAAAGAAAAAAAAATAAATGTGTAAATGATCGTGAACCACGGCCGCCCGATTACCGACCAAGCTATTATGACATTTTCTCTTGCGGCGAAATTTACCGTCATATTCGAATTATATTTTTCATTCCCGGAAAACAGGGATAAAAGCACATTTTCTAAAAATGAAACCTAGCTAGATCGATTTTTCGCCCCCGATTCTATGCACATACTAAATTTCATGAAAATCGCTGGAGCCGTTTCCGAGATTCCGAATATATACATATATACATATATACAAGAATTGCTCCTTTAAAGGATAAGATACATGCCAGTACAATCTAAAAAGGGAGACTCATCCTCTGATAAATACGGACCACATACTCCAATGCATAAATATTTAAGTAGAATTGAATAACAATTAATGAATAATTAATGCATCACATTTACTACGTAATTGGGCGCGACCAATTGATACATTTCGGGTGGAACTGTTGTCACCACGCTAAAATAGCCGAGCTTTTATTATGCAAGTTGTGTTTTAGGTACCCCAATGGTTAATCTAGCAGCTCGTTTTTGATCGCCCGCTTCTACTAAGAGCAACCTGCGTTTAGAACAAAAACGTTAATACTTGAAAATAGATGAGACGTAAGACATCGTAAACAATCGCTATCTCTATCATTTATTCCTTATTTAAAATATGTGATTAATGTGAAAAGTTGTCAAGCGCTAGCGATTCAGATTATCATGTTGCCCTTGATCGACCTAAATGGAGTCAGCACAACATGTGATCATTTATTTTGGTATTAGCTAGGTTCTTTACGGCCGGCCGTCTACCTAAGTCAATCCTCCTTCGAAACAGACAGCCGTCATCTGCGGATCGGAATCAAACCGAAGACCCCAGACGCCGAAGCCCTTTTAGCTTAGCTACTACTTAGCAACGTATCAAACCAAATGTTAAATAAGAAGAACTGACTTAAGAATTGCAAAAGATTGGCTACTGTGGGAATGATTTGTATCGACAATCGACCGTGTTCCGTGGTAATTTCATTCGGACCACAATCGAAGAGGATGTCACAATTGAGTGTATCTATCGGCCATTATGTCCATTCAGTACCAATTGGTGTACTATGGACATCTGCTTCGAATGGCAACATATTTTATGCAAATTAAGAAAAAAATTAATATTAATCATTACAAAAGATTTATATTTCCATAACGTTGCAATCAAAATTTAAAAAGCGAAATTGAATTTATAAAATCTATTAAGCTGTTTACAAAACTATATTAACCATGTTGAAGGGATGAAACAGTGACTTAAAAACGTTGTCAACAGAACATAATCAAAGTGTTTTACATACACTATTGTGAAGCGAACTTTAATACACTTAAATGTTTAAAAACTTTAGAATCTTTGAGTTAGTTTGAAAACTTACACCGCTGATTGAGTTGAAACGTTCAACGGCCTAGATATCGCTTAACGATGCTTACCTGCGGACGGAATTTTAACAGCAATAGTTTATCGTCCAATTTTAGATGCAATGCAAGTTGTGCAACATGCGAACACGCTTAATATGGTATAATAACAGTACGTTCTTCATCGTACCCTGGTTGAGATATATTTAATACACTTGAAAACTCCATGTGGATAACTCTAACAAGTTCGGAACGAAATTTCAATACAAATAAAAATATGTAGTGAAGTTTTTATACGTGTTATTAATGCATACACATGATGTTAATTTCTTTGATTTGATCAAATTATCCAACTAGTGATATTTATTTTTAACTACCTCATGGATCTATCCATGTATCGATATCCCCTAATTTTAGCAAAATTTAAATGAAAATTGGCATTTGATTGAGGGTAACATGCTTTTTTTGTAACTATTACAACTATTTTCAGAACATTTTCTATATTTTGATATGTTAGCTAAATTAAAAAGCATTGCAAAACATGCAATATAACGAATGTAACGGCCGCTTAGCTTAGTTGGTAAAGCGTCTGGACGAAGACGCAGATCCAAATTCAGCAGTGCCGAAAGTTTTTGTTCATTTAACTACAAAAATTTACCAAACAAAAATAACAAACGTTATGGTGGTCTGAAAAACAGTTGCTCTTGAAAATAAGCGGACCTAATTAGAAAAAAATTATCTGCTGATCACATTTTATCAAATAATAAAAAATACAAATAAAAATAACTTATTGTTTTTTACATTAATGTTGCCTAAAAAAATAGTAATATGTTTTTTTATTTTATCAGGGTAAATGTTTGGTAAGCTTGTTCAGAAATGGGGACTGCTACCAATAATACTCGTACGTATTATTCATTGCATCTATGTAGTAGAGCAACAACAGCTTTCACAGAAGGCCAATAAGAAATGGATATTTAGTATTTGTACTTCTGTATTACGTTGAATTAGATCACTGCTTCAATGTCATTTGTCTGTCCTTACTCACGATCAGATTAACCGATAGTGTAGCTTAGCTCTATCTTGTCTAATTGGCATCGCTTCGAAGTTCGAAAAAAGTACTTAAAAAATTATATAAAATTTACACGCAAATCAAAACCCCTTAGTTACACTATGTACTAGTTTCACACAAAGTAAGAAGTGTTAAATTACTTACCGATTACTCAACGGTGCTAGCAAATTAACAGAGGTACCCCTCGACGCAGGATGCCGCCATTTACTGGGATTCTTCCAAATAGCATACCTTTTCGAATACGAAAAAACAGTACACATAACACTCGCGTTCATAAACTCCACCAAACGTTCTACCGTATCATTCAAGGTCATAGCGTCTTCATTAAACTTCGTAAAGCTTTCTTCCTTCACGTTGCTATAGTCCGTTGCGTTATCAGAAACAGAACTGTTCAACAACTCATAGACACCGTTATTATTTGGACTCGCGTACACATAGACCCGATCTAGTTCCGTATCATTTGCACCACTAGTTTTAAGTTTAGATCGAGTTCGAGTTCCATTCGAGTTGTGATGGTAATCATCCAGCGAGGTGTACCAAGCTTCGAGTACAGCAATGTGGGCGTCAAGATCGCGACAGGTCAACCGTATCTGGCTATTATGACACCGCTGTTCCTCCACTATTTCTGCAACAGAAATTATTTAAATTTATCAAGACTGACTAAGCATCTAATTGTTTATGTGATTATTATTTAGATAATTCTCATAAAGCCATGAATCTAAAAATATTATGGCTTGTTTTACGCTAGTATTCACTGCTTCGTTTTTACTTGTGAGGTACGCATTATGAGAGATATTTAGTTTTTTTGGAATTCCTGCCCACTATTTCTGCCTCGCATTTGTATCTGCCATTTGCGCCACGTCCGAAATTTTTAACTTTTAAGACTAAAAAGTATCTATATGGTTCTCGCATGATAAATCAAATATATAGGTTAGGTTAGCTTTTTGTTAAAAGTAAAATAAAAATTCCATTTACATGACTGACAAATCAAGATTTAGTTTTAGTGAATTATTAGGGTGTTAACTTTTTTTTACACAATTTATCTTACAACAATTCTCTGATTTTAGTATTCATCATGTTACTCTATATTTCACTTTGAGTCTAGTGCAGGTTGAGATATTTTGTTACAGCAACTTTATTACATATTAATAAAAGTACAGCCACTTTGCGCAATAGTATCGTATTCGTTATGTGATCAGTCGTTTAACGATATTTCATATCTTAAGTTTACTTATTTATTGTATATACTTCTTGAAACGGACACAAATATTTATTAAACTTCTTAAAATTAATAATATAATTATATTGATTATTTCCGAAATTCTTTTTTCACAAAAATCATTTGATACTCTTCTGACAAAACAAACGTTTCAAGGCAATCTATATACCTGCAAAATTATGAGTTGATCCAATTGCCGCCTGATAAATTACGAGAGCTATGAACATAAATTCTGAAGTCGTCGTTTGATTTAAATTATATAATCCAATACTGTTGGACCGACAGAACCCATTTCACAAATCCAAATTGTTTTTTACTATCGACCCGCACTGACTTCGGACGGGTGAAATGCAATATACATATAAAGCTTCCTTTTTAATCACTCTATCTAGTAAAAAACGCATCAAGATCCGTTGCGTAGTATTAAAGATCTGAACATACACAGGGACAGACAGACAGCGGGGCGACTTCGTTTTATATTATGTAATGATAATCCAATACTGTAGTACCGACAGAACCCATTTTACAAGTCCAAATTTTATTTTATTTTTTATTTGACGACCCAATTGGCGTAGTGAATAGTTACCCTGTCTCTTGAGCCGAAGGGTATGGGTTCAATCCCGACTATTGAAAAAATATTATTCGATGAACATAGTCTGTGGGTATTTATTTATCTACAATATGTATTTATTTACAAAAGAAAAGTACGTTTAAGTGTGTTTATAACTTACCTAGTACTCATAGCGCAAGCTTTGCTTTGTTTGGGACTAGATAGCGCTGTGCAAAAATATGTCCCGTAATATTTATTTATTTATTTATTCATTATCGTTGGTGCATCAGTTAAAGATAGTGTAAACTATTGATCGTCTACAGTACCACCTAGGAGAACATCTGATGGAAATGTTTATTTATATACCGATTTGCGTTCTTTAAATAAATTTATTATGTTTTTAAACTTGACAATTTTAAAGTAGAGTCTCAAAATAAAAAGGCCTAATGGATTCAGTTCCATAAATCCATTAATGGCGAAATAGGCCGACTATACAGATGTTTATGATAATTGACACGCGTTTAATGAAAGGTATGCCGGCTATTTTTTATGGACGATAAATTTCAGGCGCGGATCGGCATTATTTTAGCCGTGGCGTGATTCAACCGAGCACGCAGGCGGTTAATAAAATCGTATAGCTTTCGACGTGATTCACTACAGTAAAATAAACAAAACTATATCAAATGTTGATAATCTATCTATATATATATATATATAAGAGATCTCCACCGATAATTGACTCACCACAATATCTCTGGAACCATAAAGCGTAGAGACTTGAAATTTGGTAGAAATATTCCTTTCGCCGAGTAGAGGTCATCTAAGAATGGATTTTACGAAATTCAACAAAACAACGTTTGCCGGATCAGCTAGTTTATAATATTTTCAATACCTTAAAAAAATTTAATGGCATAAATATGTAAAGTTTTCATAGTTATTTAAGACAATTATACAATTTTAATAATGAGATGCTCTAAATTAACGATTAATAAGGCAATGTTCTTTCCAATAATTTTCAGTTATTATATTTATTATTGTGCACACACAGTACAGATAATTATACACTGCTCTACCACATTCTGTATAACATAACTGTCTATAGGTCATAACTGCCTTGATCGCAAAAAAATCTAACTCTACAGAAGAAATGTAAAAGAAGAAAAAAGTCTTACGGATTTTTTCAGTGAAAGATTATTTGACTTTTTGCTATAAATTCTATATACGACGTTGAATAATTTTGGTAAACAGTAATTAATTGTAAAGTCATAAGAAACGATTGAAGGCTTTGTTAATCATAGCATAGATATTTGAAAATCTTCAAATACAAATTAAAGTTTATTTAAAGTTTTATCGTTGTCCCAAAAGATTTATCTAGAGTCGAACGCAAATTGTCTTATAACAGAAACCAAGCCTGCGAATATTCGGAACGGTCAGAAACTACAAAATATGTCATACTGTTGGGATTTGTGAGTGATACATCAAAATCACACTCTCAGTATTGGATAGAATTCGACTGAACGCGCCAAAACCTACAAAGCATTTGTACCATGCAAGTGCGCAATATTCACCCTTTTATCCATCTCTCTTTGTTGCTCTCATTGCTTTTATACATCTCACCTACTCTAACTGACCCCGATGCGTTTTGGATCCGAATTAACGTTGCTATGGCAACCAATTGAAATACCACATGTATTTTTAACACTTCGCCAGTGATCATTGATCCATCCAGTCCATGCTAAAACTCAGCTCTTTTTTACAAAACACGACAAATGCTTAGAACATCAAAGACCAAATAATATTGGTCTTTTCCTGTTAATCCCGAATTTAAGCTCGTTCAATTTATTAAAGGAAATTAAACGTTAAGCGAGCGGATTAAAGTGCAATATATTTTAATCAACCTAAGAAGGGACGAAATATATTTACTGGACATTTTGGGGGCTTTGTATATTTTATCCCGAGGCAGCAGTCTTCATTAGGGGATATAGTGAAATGGGGTAACGACAAATCATCTTTTTTGTTAAGACTCGGCACTTATATGAAAGATTTGAGTAAGTAATAATATAGAAATTAGTAAAAAAAAGCATGGGAGAACTTAACTCATCTTATGCACCTCAACACACATGACATTAATACACATTTCTTTTTAGTATACATTTGGGGTAAAATTTAACCCTTATCATTAACTATCTGCTGTCGTGCTTAAGAACTGTAATGTTTCGTAAGATATTTTAATACGCTTTCAATGTAACAAATGTATCAGCCAACTTAAGCCTAGATGCTAGAATTATTTTCTTATACAGCGTGTCTTTATAATCGCGACATAAATGAACACACATATAGAGGATAACTTTTTTAAATTGTATTAAACATTAACATTCTTTAAACGTCAATATTTACAGAGTTATTAAATTTTCCAAAACAAAGAATTTTAGAACACAATTACGTATAAAACTGTAACGTAAAGTTTATTTGTAAAGGTCACAAAGCATATGAATGGGTTGAATGAATTTAAAAGAGACAAGACATACTGTTAGAAGGAGAGGCTTGCAATGCGACGCTGTGGTGCGAGTTGTATAGGATGTTACAAATTTTGTTTCTTTTTTACTTAATTAGTTTGTTTGAAAAATATTTTATTTTAATTATGGATTTTGTTGACGTTAATATTTTTTTTATGATTATTGGCAAGTAGCGTTAAACGTGTGTTCATTTATTGTCGCGATGGTAACGACACGCTGTATACCTACGGCACACGTGTCTGGTTCGTCATCTCTGGTAATACTCATGTGATCTTTTGTAAAAATCTCGAATTCGATGCCACTGCACCTTTAGTGGACATTTGCAGTGTTTTCGTGACGAACCTATTCAAACAACTACTTAGAGAGATAACTTTAACATAAAATCTGTAAGATTTGAACCTGAGCTTCAGGATTGCTTATCCAGACGCTCTAAGCTCCACTTAACGGCCGATATTAAGCATTGCAAAACATGCAATGAAAACAAAGTAGATTTTGTTTCGTTAAAATTTTACTGCGGTGACGTCAAGAGACATCTGCTTTAAAAACTTTAATTAAAAACCACGTAAAGACAGTACTGAAATTACTACAGTGTCAGCAGATTTTTTGGCAAAAGTCAGTCACAAAAATGAGAAGTAAATGTCATAAAGGGTATGGGAGCCCCACTTAAATATTTTTTATACTGTTTTTGAATATTTCTTGTTATAGCGGCCACAGAAATACATCAACTGTCTATCTCAGTTCATGAGATATAACATGGTGCCAGACGGACAGACAGACAGACAGCAGAGTCTTAGTAATTGGGTCCCGTTTTGCCCTTTAGAACCCTAAAAAGCACTAACAAATTTAAGCATTATAAATGGAAAATATTTTAATTACTGTACTTTAAAACATGCAAAAATATACTTATCATCAAATGAGGAATTTATTAATAAAATAAATTATTATTTTTAGAAATAAATCTCCCTCTACTCTCTCTCCTAATAAGCCTCTCTAATATTTCAATAAAAAATTTTACTGTCTAAGCGTAATCTTTTAAATAAAACTCTTAACTATTATGATTTTTTAATTTTTTTTTGTTTGTTATTAAAATTCCGAAGTATTGAACCCCACAGTACCCACGACCATGGGACAAATGGCTACTTTAATAACAAATGCAACACCTAAAACAGTTTTATTTACAACGTGTAGTATTTGCGTAAAGAAATGAAGACAAATACGGGAAAATTTTTCATATCTTTATAAACGTGATAAAAACACACGTGTTTATTTTCGTTCGATATAAACAATAGCCGCAGGTGGATTCATAAAGATTCATAAGCATCGTTCACCCTTATTGTTAA